ATGTCAAACTTTTTCCCACAAACCTGGTCTGATGGTTGTGTTGACAAGTGATTCTTTGATAATCCTGTGCGGGCTTAAAATCTAGCCTTTATACAAATAGTTCTATTATTGTTATTCTTTACAATGCTGCACTTAAAGTAATTCCGCCATTGCTGTCAAGACAAGCCCAAAACAATGGGAAAGTGGTTCCTTCCAAGCTCACTTTACCCAACAAAACAAGGCTTCTTCGCCTCCTAAGGCTACTACTTTGATTCTTTTGCAGCAACCGATCCTAATTTATGAGCTCCTAAAATAGAAATTCATAAAGCTCGAGTACTACTTTTTACTTCTTCCCGATTCGGTGAATACAAATAGTCTTATCGACTAAAGAAACGAATAGAATACAAAGTAAAGTTAAAGATAAAAAACAAGCTACATTTCATAATAAAAAGATTAAGTAATTGTAATTCAAATTATTGACATAGAATTCAACAAAACAAACTATTTTTATACTTTCACTGTAGCATTACTTTTTGGTTACGAACACAGTATAATAATTATATAATACAAACTGGTCGCGCAACGCGCGACAAAGACAAGCCTAGTACTTAAATAAAAGGCCCAGTAGGTAAGAAATAATGCCCAAGAAATATTCAAGGACGCACCTTCAAATCGATCTCGTCCATCAGATGACCTTGATATGACGTCAGCGATTTATTAAGGGTAAAAACATGATTTCAAAAATTCATCACATCCCAATTAAAAAAATAACCATAAGCCTTCGAGGGAAAAACCCCCAAACAAGAAAATGACATCGTCACTCTTTCCTACGATTTTTTCCCAAAAAAAACCCCCCTCATCATCACCACTAACACTTCCTCATTGATCAACCCCCACCACCGTCATCACCGATTATTGATTAGGAAATTTCCCATGCTATGTCCTATTCTCCCTACAACTATAATTCGTATGCCCTTAGAATAACGAAATCCGTTTTCCCTAACAATTACAATACTTACATTGGATTGTATCCATTTTTCCCAATTCGGGGTTGTTCTCTTTGCCGTCGGTGGAGGAGATACAATTTGAAGGCTTTATGTTGCCTTTTTCAATCCTATCTGCTTTCAATGTGATATTTTCACTGTCCTCAATGGAGGTGTTCTCAAGCGGAGTAAAAGTAGTAAATTGAGGTGATCGGTGTAGACTGACAAGCTTCGGAGGCATCAGAGATATTGGCTTTGTTTATGGGCACTGTGGACCACACTTCTAAGGTATCTGATAGAAAGATTGAATTTTTGCTCGTTGAATATACTTATTAGTTCCTTGTAGTTTGTTGAATTTGGGATAACTGTTCCTTCTGCGTGATGTTTTGTGTTGTAGCTGTGTGGGTTGTTTTATGATCGATGTAGAAGGGATAGATAAGCGCTTTACTTGTCTGAGTTTTATTGTTTATTGTGAGATGATCTCTGACGATTGTTTAGGATTTGGAAAAGGAAATTTTGATGCCAGTGTGAAGTGTTTAATTCTTTGCGGATTATTGTGGTTATGATTTTTAAGTCCAGATTATCTTACGAATTTACCTGCCTGTTTTGCGCCCCAAATTTATTTCGGTAGTGATACTGTGCTTCCTCTCTTTGACTTTGGAATCTCTTTGAGACGTTTAGTGCTTAATAGAGTTGTAGTCCACTTATTCGTTCTTTGCAGTCACAATCAAATGGAATTTCATTGTATAAATTGTCTTCTGTCGATGTTGGCCTCATTGTAAATTTATTAAATAATTTTTGCACTTAAGCTGTTTGTTTGTTTGTTTCATGATGTTATCTCCTGGTTTTAATGTTTCGAACTTTTGTAGCGCAGTGGCTTACTCTCTATGGTGCATTTGTTTGCTCACTTTTGCCGTTTGATGTTGCCGACTTCCTAGGTTAGCATTCAACCTCCTATTTATTAACTAATATCTTTCTCCTCGTATTTATGGAGCATACCAATATCAGGGAGAAAGAGGCTGTTGATATTATCGTATTTGTTGTATGTTGTTGGAGTTTTGGTGACTGCATCGACTTCACCACATTCGGCTTCCCAGCGCCGATACTATCTCCGCCACATCAAACTTTTCCCCTCCACATACGGGATGCGAGAAACGACGGCACCGCCTGCGGTACTAGAATTCAAAGTCTTTCTTGCTCGAGATAGACGAGAATTCTGGTAGAGAAGATGCCTCTGTCCGACCTCTGGATGTTCCTTTCCAGGTTTGGGATGATTCTAAACCTCAGAGAAGGTTTCAGGAGTTTATTCAACCATTAACTAGCTAGAATTTTGATTTGAATACCGAGAATTCCAGGAAAAATGGGTTCGCGGAGATGTTCACAATAGCTAAGGCGGATTATTCAGTTGGGAGAAAAATTTGGGCAGCAATGAGGTACACCTTAATTGTATTAAGGCTGGCTATCAAAAGCTGAGGAGGAAGCTGGTGGGTAAATTTTAAAATTTTGAACTGCTTTTCATACTTGTCGATTGCAATTGATGTTTTTCTGAGTTTTGTTCTATATGTTGACCATGATGTATCAGTGAGATCAGATAATGGTGGCTTAATTATAGTTGTTATTGCTATAAATTAGGCACCGAAGCCGTGGGTTCAATTTCTGTTGATGCGTTCGAGTTCCGGACGCAATTCCTGTGAGAATAGTTGCTTATGGTTTTCCAGTAAAAGCATGGAGAAAATCCTAACAAGGAACTTTATTCATGCATTAAAAAGGGGCCAAAATTGCGGTGATAATCTCCTTCTTTCGAGCAGAATTGCGAATCATTTGGAATCTGTTCTCTGGCAGGAGTTTATCACAAGGTGATTTGTAACCTGGTTCGAGTTTCTATCGGCTTTTATCATGGTTGGAATTTCTGTTTTTAATTCCTTTGCTATTTTGTATAATCGTGTTGCCTTCTTCAGATGACGAGTTTGCCTTTGTTGTTGAGGATGATCTTCAGCTCTCTCCTTACTATTTTAGGTTCTTGAAGAGTTTGATTTTGAAATAATAATACTATAATAAGTCCAATTCCAGCCCCATGATTTACAGGCCTCTATGCAGCGTCCGAGAGTTACCCCAGATACATATGTTCTTCATTGGCATATTGGTTTTGCTTTCTTTTCTTTTGCTTTGATGTCTGATTGATCATGATACATCATTTGTGTTCCCAACTTATCTTCATGTGTACTTGAAACTGTTGTCTGTCTTGCAGTTGATAGTTCTTTGTTAATCTTGTATTAAAATCGGTGATGGCAGTGTCAGAGAGAAGTCCTTGTGGACGATACTGGCCTTATTTTGCTCATTGTGAATGGGAGTGCTGTTCATCGTTACCAACTTGAGAATCTGCCTCATCCGCTTATAGATCCCCAGTCTAGATGTGGTCATGTCTTTGCATGTAAATAGCAGCTATATACTGTAAGTTAGGGAAGTATACCGATGCAATCCCAGTGTTGGAGCACCCAATTGAAATTCCAGTGGTTGAGGATGCCCAAGATCACGCCCTTGCTAAATTTGCAGGTTTTATGCAACTGGGAGATACTTACGCCATGTTAGGTCAGCACAAGGAATCAGTTATGTGCTGTTCTTCTGGTTTAGAAATCCAAAGAAAAGTTTTGGGAGACTCGAACCCAAGGGTTGGTGAGACCTATAAATATGTTGCTGAAGCTCATGTTCAAGCACTTCAGTTCGATGAAAACTGAAGCCTCAATTGATTGCAGCATTGGGGATACATATTTATCGTTGAATCAGTAGGATGAAGTCACTTGCAGTTTTGCGCATTGGGGATACATACTTACCAGAAGGCACTTGCAGTTCTGAAGTCAACTAAAGGGGAAAATCATCCGGTGGTAGCTGCAGTTTTGCACATCTAGCTGATCTGTATAACAAGACTGGAAAATTCAAGGAGTGCAGATCTTATTGTGAAAATGCCCTTCGAATATTCGGGAAGTCTACTCCTGTTATTCAATGAACAACTTGAGCAGGCCCTTTAATTGCTGCAGAAGGCATTAAAGATGTATGATAATGCCCCTGGTCAACAGAGTACAATAGCAGGAATTGAGGTGTTGGATGTCAATGTCATTATTAATAATAACTCCATAATTTATGAACATTTTATACATTTTATTATTAGCATAACATGGGTTACAATTGCTTCAGGCTTTAACTTTCTTTCACTTTGCTTGATCTTTCCTTCACGTATATATTTTGCCTTCACTGTTTGCCCTCGAAATTCCTTTTTCTTTGTTATGCCTATATACTCCCACTGTCCAAACAAAGTGGAGTATCATTTGATTTGATAATGTATATTTTTGGGACAAGTAGATAACGGTTGATTAGCTCTATTTCTTTCCTTTAGTCAGGAGGTGGTTGACCTATCTCTCTGATTGTCAACTTTTCCTCTCCGATTCCCAACTCTTTATAGTATTTTGCTGATGATTAGATGATGATGGCTTAGGAGCATAATTATGTTACGCATAAACGTAGTACATTTGTAGCTCTTAAGCCTTTTCTTAAAGGTCAAGATGGAAACATTAAAGCTGCTTTAAGTCTCCTGTTCTCTAAATGGATTTTTTTTTTTTTTTTTGTAATTAAGTTGGTAGGCTGGTTCATCTATTCAGAAGTATGATCCTGACATCAATTTTTGTGTGCATTGAACCTTTTGAAGATCTCCTTCGTGGCAAACGAGATTGATTTGACCAAATGGAAGGGAGGCATACTCACGGTAGGTGTTAATATAGAGAAATATGGGGATGGATGGGAATGAGTTCCAAAATTCAATTTTGCATTTTTTTCCAAGAACTATTAAACGTAGCACAAAATGTATAACTTAAATTAACTATATTGTTTTCAAACACAAAAAGTAAAAGAGTTAACAGAAACACTGGTCGCGCAACGCGCGACGGAAATAGACCTATTATTTTGAAATGAAGGGAGTATTATAAAGGCTTAAAGGGAAAAATATCCAAAGGAAAATAGATAGACACGACTCAAATTGGATTAAATGGCTGATATTGAGTGTCGTCATTGTTCATCCTTTGGCATCATATGCATTAATTAATGCATGCCATTAATACTCTTTAATCAATTAGAGTGATCACCAGGTAGAGTGTAACGGTAGAATGCGAGACTCATCTCGAGAATATCTCCCATTACGGGATCACGATAATATGTGCTGGCGGTGCCAAGCCCTTGCGCCATCCGGAAACACCCGGATCCGCCGATGATCGAAAACTCCCGGTACTTTGCCGTCACTAAATTACGCCCAAAGATGCTAAGAGTGCTACCTTGGAATGGACCATCAGTGAAGACGAAGTTAAGGGTCATAAGTGTAGCCCTTTCCTCCTGCGCGGCAAATGTATACATCCCTTGACAATAACCGATAACCTTCGCTCCCGGTTGGTCGGTTAGCGATTGTTCGGTTAATGGAGCATCGATTACTCTCACTAACCCGAAACTTGTATCCGGGTTCGAATCTGTCGTGTTGGCCTTGGCAACCGGGGTACTCGCCGGAGGGTCCTTGTTGAGGATGTTGTTTAGAAAGAAGTGAAGCTTTGTGAACTGAGGTTTTGCATGGGGAAAATGTAGGAGCCAAGATTCAACTGCTTGAGGGCTTTGGTCGTCAGGAAGGCCATGACCCAATGAGGCCATTGTCGTCATGACAACCGCTGCAAGAAACAAGGCTACCATTTTCCCCATTTTTTCGATTGATGAATTGAACTTAATGATGTTTTTTTTTCTTGTTTGTGTGGATTGGGAGTAATGAAATTAAGATTCATGCAAGTATATATATAGGAAAATTTTTGACTTGATGACGAGTAAGAGATACATAAAGAGAGAGAGAGAGAGAAGGAGGAGAAAATTTTAAATAAATGAAGAAGATCAGGCAAATTGATCACGAAAGTCTTAAGATGTGGGAAATGCAGAAAACAAGAAAATGTTGTCAAATTGTTGCCTTATGTGTACACACATTGATCCAGTACAATGGACTAAAATAGAAAGGCAAATATAAAATTGATTGTTTGAGTAATTCAGTCCTGAATTGCCGATGGGATGAAATGTGGATGTAGTTTCGATCTTTGTGAAGGTTGTTATTTGTGATGTAATTCAATAAGTTGACCATCACTTTCTAAGATGGTTTGTTGCATGTAATGTAATCAGTGGAGCGATCTGGGGATGGCATTTAAAATACTAGTAATATTATTCCGGTGCGTTGCACGATTTTTTAAAAATATTCTATGTTATTTTCAAATTATTAATTAATAATGATTTATAATCTTGTAATTTTTTATTCACAATTTATTGTTTTTATAAAAGGGATAAGATCATAATTTTCTTTAATTGAAAAGGGAATAAGACTTGGAAGACTTGTTACGGTAAAAGTGTTCTCCCGATTTCAAGTCTGTGTTTGTCATGCTGGTGTGAAGGTTTGCTCGTAATGGTTTACTGCTTCTTACTGTGATATTTTTTTAATTAGAAATTTAATGACTTGTGATATTAATTAGTGTTAGGAGAAGTTTTTTTTATCCTTAATAATGAAAAAGAGGGAAAAGAAAAAAAAAAGGAAGAGATAATCATAACAAGTAGAGTAAATTGCACATATGAATATATGATTTTTTACATTTGTCAAAGAACTTAAATTGGTCTTTTACGTTAAAATTCACTAAATTGGTCTATTACATTTGTCTTTTACACTAATTTACTCCATTTTACTTTTTTATTTTTTTACACTTTACATTTGGTGATTCTTGGTTTGACCCATTTATTGGTCAAGTCATCAGGGGCATTTTCGGCAATGTCTAAGTTACAAATAAATAATCTTAAAAAATTGATTAAAATAATATTAAACATATTATATTAATTCATAATAAATTTTTAAAAAAATTAAAATTTAAAAATTCACATTTTTTTCCAAAATCAGATTTGTTTTTTTTTTATTCCATGGTTCCCACGTCCAGGATCTTATTAGTGACCTTATTCTTTAAATTTTTTCTCCATTCCCCCGGTTTAACACTTTTTTCTTTTCAAATCCCGTCCTAAATGGGGAGAAAAAAAGTAAAAAAATAAGGTTAATAATAAAAACATGGTGGGGTACCAATTTTCGACACGATACAAAAACACGATCCCTAACACGTAATAAGTGAATTTAAGGTTGAGCTCTGACGGGTTTGGGTTGAAATCAGATCGAATCGGCGAACACGTTTAATGAAATAGGTAGAACTCATGTTAACCTGTCAGGAATATTGACTCGTTTAACCCGAAATTCAAAATAAGCAATTTAAGGACTTATTAGGTAAATATTAAAAACATACTATACAAACCCTATATATACTCATATTATCTAGAATATCTATTTTTTAGTTAGTTCTAAACATACTATCGTGTTTTGATGTGTTATTTAGTTAGTTCTTTCCTATTAAATTCAAAAGAATTAAAAAAAAAATCGCATACTTAATGTTTGTAGATATCTACTTACTGTTTAAGTTATAAGTGCTTAAAATTTCTTAGTTTTTTTTTCCAGAAAATTTATTTTATTAATTGCAGATATATTAAATTATGTTCGGGTCATTTCGTGTCGTAAGCCATCCGTGTTATTATCAAATAGTGTTTAGGTTCAAAAAATTGATTCGTATAGTTAAATAGGTTGTGTTCAGGTTAGTAAATAAATATTCGGGTTCGTGTTGGATTCGACCCGCGAACCTGAAACCCGATTCGATTGATACCGCACTGTAGGGCCCATCGGATAAAAATAATCAGATTTTGGATTTAATTTTTTGAATTTTGAAATTTTTAATTTTTAATTTTTGATTAATTATATAATTAATATTATTTAAATCAATTTTTGTTTTCTTATTTTTTTAAAAATTAAACATTACCAAAAATATCTCTTTTGACTTGACCAATAAATGGTCAACTTGAGAACCACCAAATGTAAAATGTCAAAAAAAGTAAAAAGTACTAAACTAGTCTAAAAGACAATGTAATGGATCAATCAATAAAATTTTTAATGTAAACGACCAAATTATTTTTCTAGTAAATAAAAAGGACCATTTGATTAGTTTACTCGATATCTGGTATTGTAAATATGATATTCTAAAAGGATTTACTCTCAATCTAACTGAAGTCCTATTAATATATCAGTTTCCTAAAATAGTTGGATTTATTTACAATTATATTCACCATACAATTATTGTTTCTTTTATCTCAAAAAAAAAAAATCACAATACAATTATAAGTATCTAATTAGTTAATGATTGGTTATTCTATAAATATATTCCTTATTTAATTTCCTGATAAGAGTATGATTAATTCATCTTTTCATACTTTGGTATTGTATTAGTTTTTGAAATTTATTGATTGTGTAGATAAATTTCTTATATAGATTAGTAATTATGATGATTTGTTTGGACGTATTTATGATCCTCGTGCAATTAAAGTATGCAATTATAGAATATTGTAATTATTTTTAACACTGAAATAAAGTTAAAAAAATTATTTAACCAAATTACAATATTTTTTTACAGTTTAATGAAGGAGACTTGTGGAGATGACACGTGTCACAATTGTCCTAAACTAACTTACTGAATGACACGTGTCGATTACAAACTCTCTTTTAATATATAATATAAATTTAATTATTATTCTTCACACCGCAATTGGAATTTCAAACTAACAATAATCACTTAATCCATATGATATATATTTACGATCAGATTAATTTGGAGTTCGATCCTTCGTGTGTAAGTGCATCAGTGGTCAAAACATTTATTGAGAGAGTTCTACCGAAAGAGATTTTCTCGATTCGAATATGTATGAATTAGAGCACATAAGAAAATAAGGTTCGTCACACAAATTTTATATTTCCTCCATCCCTGATTGTCTACTTCTTTGCACAAAATAAGACTAAAAGTAAAAAGTAGAAAGTCGAATTGAATAATCTTTTTGTAAGGGTGAAACATAATTATGGTTTTTTTTTTGTTTGAATGTACTCTCAAGCATTTTTCACATATACAACTCCTAATATCTATAGTACTTACTTAAAACAACAAATACTAAAGACATGTGTCAGCACCAGAATGAAAATTTTCCCTCCAAATATTTACAGACGTTTACAGTACAAATCCGAAGCAAAAAATGAGACATGTGCCTTCATACATTTGCCGAAAATTTTAGTAGTAAGATCAGTTACAACAACAACAAAAAATTCTACTGAAAGTTTAAAATTAAAAATCCCTCAATTTAGGGAAGAAACTGATTCCATACGGCTGGATATTATGTTCCCCTAAAATAGCCGTGAAAATTTATTGTTATTTAGGAACGGAAGTCAACAAATCAGGATTATGCGTCCCTAATTTCAGCAAAAATAAGTCAGAAAAATCTCCTCAAATCAGCCACTTCAAACCTAATATCAATTATTGAAACTTCTCCTTCCATCCCTAATTCCAATTTCAAATCCAGTAGTAAGGCCTTCTAACCCACCCAATCCATCCAGCGATGTAAAGGCAGGGCCTACGATCGGAACGTTGAGGTTACGAGGAAGAAAAAGACCATGATGGGTTTTGTGGTAATGGTCTGAATTTGGTAAATCCCGGTCACGAGAAGCATCGACTGGAGATTCCAAATTCGATGATGATGCTGACGGCTGGCAGGATCTCTTTGAAAATCCGGCCAGAAGTTTTTGCCTATCTCTCCTATCGTTAGCTTTATTGCTTTCGTCCGAAGGGACGAAATCTCCTTCAAATCCATCGCTGTGTTCCGCTCCGATCAACCTTCAGATGCCATAGGTGGTTTTATTTTTAGTTTATTTTTTATTTATGGCCGATCCAAATTCAATGATGATGCTGACGGCTGACAGGATCTTTTTGCAAATCTAGGTTGTAGGAGTCAATTTTAGTGAACGGAAGTTGGGGCTTTTCTGTTCTTGAATAGAAGTAACAAGCCTTATTGTCGACCACTGTTTCTCTTAACTTTTGAGAATGTGAACAATCCAGTGAAGAGATCGGTAAAGTTGTGCTCTTAGCACATTCACATGCCAACATTGGTAACTTTAAAAGATTTAGTTTTCTTTCTTTTTGTGTATATAGTTCGAAAGTGTAATAATTCACTTTGAAATGTTCTTTTTGTGTATATAACAAGGTCTATTTAAATAATTTGTATGGGGTTAGCATAACATATCTGATGGTGTTCAACTGGTTCGATAGGGAAGATTCAGTAGTCATCTCCAGTCCATTCTTTGTAAGTTTTATATATCAAATCGTTTTGTTTTTTTCACGGGTAATCTTTTCTCTGCTGGATTCTTTTCATGTTAGTTTAAAAGATTTGGTCTCCCGTTGTGGATGAGTGGTTTCACTTTCAGGTTTGTTTATTAGAGATTGTCCGTTTCATTATTATTGATGTGGTTGCATGAGGCTTTCTCCCCCCACCCCCGAAATATGAAGGTCCGTAGCCAATAAGTTTAAATCAGAGATAAAAATTTTCCAATAAAACATTTTTCAGTTTGTTTGTTACAAGTTATTTTTTGATTTTTTTGCTATTGGAATTTGTTTTCTGTTTCAAAAACTTGGTTAATTATTTCGCTTTATTTGTTGGAGTTTTGGATGTAAAGATCAAAATGTTACTGGTGTTTGAAGTTGTTGGTTAAACATGAAGTCGCTACATGATTCGGAAAATTTTCTATGAATTTAGATCGATTGAATTGTTTAATTGAATTCAGATTGTTCCATGAGAAGAAATGAGTTTATGTATGTTATACGGGCATTATGATAAGATCTCTGTCAGTTTTCATCGACCATCTTTATGTGTTAATTTGCACATATGTTATTGATGCGGTTTGTGGTTCGTTCTGTGTTTTACATGGGAAGAACCTGTAAGAGACAGCCTTTGTGATTCTTTTGCTCCCAAAGTATAAATGAAGAAGATGGTCAGGAAATTTAGGGGCCAAAAACATCCGTTAAAGAATCAAGGTTTGTGAAATGATTAATGTGGGTTGTTAGCTTAACTATCAAAAAAACAAGGAAAATATGAACAGAATGCTTATTACGGCGGAAGGTGCTGTTAATTAGAGCAAATAAGTAATCAAACAAAGTGGCTAACTTTGTACTTTGGGCTGACCGTGAGTATTTTGTAGAGAAAGTACCATTCGGTTTGAATTAATTTGGGATGGGAATTATGGTTTGGCGCATTTTTTCATTTTACTGTATGAATTAAACTATTTGATTCTTCAGTAGTTTAAATTATTTTCTGTATGAAGTTAAATTATAACTTTGATTCACGAAGTTTGTACTTCTTTTTTTTTTTGGTGATATGAAGCTATATATTGAAAGATTTGATTGAGGTGTATTACATTCTATCTATTTTTCGGTTTTATCTTGATAGCACAAGAATTATTTGATTGTTGTTCTCTAACGAAGTTCCTTTCTTTATTGATGTATACAATATACATAGGTTTTTTTGGGCATGCATTTCCCCTTCCGATCCTTGTTTTGAAGAAGTCTAAAATCATCTAACCTCGGGTATATATCATTAGGGCTGTCTGGTCTGAAATTATTTGCCACTTCTTTTATATGTATAAGCATTTCTTAGCTGGCCTCAAATTTGGAAATTATAATCAAGGGAAACACACTGGGTGGTTTTGTTTTTCTAACTTTTTATTTTGTACTCCTTTTACAGATTGCCATAGATAGAGAAAGAGGATAATGCAGCATTGAGAAGACTAGAAGACATGGGCATTGAACTCCAAGTTACTTTTGTTTGCAGATTCCTAACACTGTCAGATTCCTCAAAAATTGGTGGAATATCAGGCATTTAATTTGCTGAATATGATTTAGCTGCTCAACATGTTGATCAATTTATATTGGCCAGACACTACTTCAAAAAGGCTTTCACTTTTTTTCTCTTAAGAATAAAAAAAAAAAACTCTAACTAAATTTCACCGCATGCTAAAATTCAACCGTGGTTATGGTTTGTTATGGCTCATTTATTTGACAGCTTTGTTTGTGTTATCTGCATCAATTTGTATACTTTGTATTCAACCCTGTGTTTGTGTGTGTTTGATTGATAGATTTGTAAGTGTAGTGATTGTTCATTCCAAGAGTCGGAGGATGATCTTAAAGGACCCTAATCAATGTGTTGTGGAAAATGTGTTACACTCTGCTTTTTGTTTCATTGTATTGGTTATCAACTATATTTTTATGCTGTTTTTTATTTTGCATACAAGGAAAATGTGGTAAACAACCAGTGAAGTATCCACATTCCGCAAAATTGATACAAGAAAATAATGACTTTGATGATGCTCTTGAGTCTTGATCCATTCGGGAGAATTCAGATCGGGAAAAAAAATCTCAAAAGTTTGAATGTTATCATCAATTTCCTTTTGGAAATCAGTTTTGAGAAGGCTAGACAAGGGCATTGCAAAGATTATTTCTCTGAAAATTCTCAAGATCATCGAGAAGAATGTTTGAGCCTGCTGAAAAATGAGTGGATATGATGATATTCTTTCTCTATATTCTCTGGTTGTGGTTAAACACTAGGATTATGAATTACTAATGTTGAAACTCAGAAGGTTATCTGTTTATATACCTATATTAGTAGGCAATGATCGAGTCTACTCAAAGAATTCATTAGAGTCTTGGGAATCGCTTTTCTCTTATTTGGTATATGTTTCTATTCATTTTGTGTTGTTTTTTGCTTATTGCCAAGGTCACATGCATTGTTGATTTCATTGTCTAAGATTTGGAAAATCATGCAGAGAATCCTTATCTGCTTCACAACTCACAAGTACGAGCTAAATTAGTCAAATTTTATTGTACACTAGATGGTATAATAAAGTTTCTAATTTGTTATTCTGTGACTTTATTATTCTTTGTAATTTGAAAGAATGTACGGGAATTTGCCTAAAAATGGATCAAACAAATGCAGTTTTTTTGGTTAAGTTTGCCTTGAGTTTTATTATCATAACATAGACACATAATATACTCAATATATTATGATTGTAGTTATACTTGAACTGTAATGGTTTATTGACATGTTATTTTCGTGTATACCTAAATGTATCAACTTTAATCATGTCCCAAATATCAACCGTATTATATATATTATATAAATGTACCAATTTTGTGGTACAATTTATTTTTTCAAACTGACTTAAATTGCAGAGGGCCGCGTCACAGCCAAGCATCTAGTACTAAATTAATGCCTCCTCGATCTAAACTAAGCTCTTTTACTGTACGAAAATAATACTAGTAAGATAATCATCACTTTTATGCTAGAACAGACTAAGTGTTCGTACCATACCGTCCAATTTGGTTATCAATGTGTTCTGCATGCTTAGCACTGCCACTAATTATTCTATTGTTCTGTTAATCTCAGAAAATAGACTACATTGAGTTTTGTAATTTGCTATAATGTGAATATAAATTATAAAATTTAATGTGGAGTATTTTTCTAAAGAAGATGGAGTTACGGTCTATAGTCACCTACTACAATAAATGCATGTCCCTTGTAGAATTTAATTTCATAGTCCATATTAATTTGGTCAATAACCAGGGCAGCGTATGAAAGTTAGTCGGGGTGAGAGTGGATCCTATCATGCAAACAGAATCCAATTCCACCAGTCCGTTCAGTTTCTCAAGCACTTGAATTGCATAAAAAAAACATTTTTGAAAGTAAAGTAAAGCAACACAAGGTTTAATTTACAAAGGCTTCGTATGCCTATATACAGTTAAGCAATTTCCCCGCGCCAAAAAATCCTTTTTTTTTCGTGCCGATTTCGCAATCTATCTTTGATATCTTTGGTCATCGGAATTTAGTTTTTGAACATCGCAATCTATGGTAGTCGGGACGATTTGTTTCCTCAATGCTTTTGCTTTGAAGCAAGATATATATAATCAGACCGATCAAGAAAACCAACCCTAAAAAGCCAAAGGAACATATTCCAAACATTAAGGGAGCGAGGAAGCCATTCGGGTCGCCCTTTTTCGGCCATCCTATTGCTATCGACGAACAATAGATTATGCCAATGTGATACAAACCACGCACATGGTGCCCGCAAACTTTTGGGTTTAATACTCCTCCGACAGCGTCGTCGACATGATATTGTAGCTCTAATAACGCAAACAATTTGTTGATAAGGCCAACAATTTGATGAATGGATATATATATATATATATATATCTTCTCTTATGTTTGGTTTGTTTACCTCTCATAATTCAGCCAGCAATAAATTGATATATGAGATATATAACACAAGATGGGTGACTATATTAATCCTAATCCAACATTGACACTGATCATCTTTTGTTTTGATTTGTTTTGTTCTTTTGCTCCCTAGATTAAGTTCCTACGTTGTATTTCTTCTTGAATTGTTGTGGTTTTTTTCTAGTAGTTTTTGTACACAAAAAAATAAAGTACAGAGATGAAAAAATTAAACCAGTAAGTACCAATGAGTTTTCTCGAGCAAAGTTATTGTCCGCGCACTAATTAGTTATTCACTGTCCTTCCAAAACAGTGCAATGTTATAAATTGTAAATTGTACAGTTTTGAGATGGATTTACAATTTACAACGTGTACCACCTTGTGGAATCGAGGGAGTACAACTACTTAAAAGCAGCCATGAGATTACTGTTTATAGGAATACAAAATTAATTTCTGGCCAGCATGAGAGTAGTTGTTCATTATTGAGGCAAACCAGTTAGATGGAGATTCTCTATCATATAGTCTTCTAGTATTTGTTTTGTAACATATTTTCAAGTGAACATGGAAATTAAACGACAAGTTCGACACCAACATCGCTGAATTCCAACCGTAAGTTAATGAGCTTTGCAACTTTAAGAAATGTAAACAAAAGAGAATAAACCAAAAACTTCTATTAATGCAAGTACATACCCTACAATCCTCGTCAATTGTTTTCCTCAGTATCGATCATCAGGAAACAAAGGTGATTTCTAATTACACAAATCAGAAAGTTGACTTGAATGGCTTGTAAACTTTAAGGTCATTGACAATTCCGGCCATAGAACCAAGAGTAGCAGCTATTGAAATGATCAAGCAGACCACACTTACTGTTTCTGGACATAACCATTTGGTGCTCCATTTTTCTATCTTCTTCTGCTTGATGTACATTTCGACTGGATAGTATACTGTCAGAGGCCAGAATCCTAAGGCTCCAAGAATGCCAACCACATCATTGAAGAAAGGCATAACCATTGTAGAGAAAATGACAAACACCGTGCTCCAAGTTAACCGGAAGAGGTTGAGTTTGTATGGTGACTTAAATCCAAATATTGGGATTTTGATTTCTCGTGTGATGAATTGGCTATCCGGGAACCATTCTGTTGCAGTTTTTTCAATGAATGCGAAAAAGGGTTGACTGTAGACTTGATATGCACCGACAAGATGGATAACGATCGCTTAATTTCCAATATCAACAAGCCAGTATGGGTTATAGAAACCAAAGCCAGTTAAGAGATTTCCAGGAGAAAGATCTCCAAATGCAGCATACCCAATGCAACCACACAAGTAGAAAACTGTGGTGATTGTCACGCTCCAAAAAGTGGCCTTTTTCATTGTCTTGTGTTCAGAAGGTGGAGTTTTGATTGTATCCTGAATCTCAATTAGGATCATAGAATAAGAATAGGCAGAAGAAATGGCTCCAAAAGCTTGAAAAACTCTCCACGTTTTGTCAATTGAGGTCACAGTTCCAATGTTTATTCCAGTGAGGCTTCCCTTAATTTTGCCAGACTCTTCAACTCTTCCAACTCCAAGACCGAGACCAACTGTGGAATAGATAAAAGCCACCATATTCGATCAAAATCTGGAATTTGGGAGAAAAAGATTTGCACAACTCCAAACATGATCATGTAAAGGCTGGCCGAGACTTTGCAAGGATCTTTGTGATGGCTAGAATGAAAGCAGTTGGACTTTAACGAATAGTGTAACCAATTGCGGTTCCAACAAGGTTCAAAGAGCTCCACAAACTTTAACTTGGAACCCACTAAAATTTGCACTCGCAGCATCCATATATGTATAGTTTCTTTTTCCGTCCTCGGTTCGGTAACAAGCGGAGAGTAGAATGGAAGTATAATACGTAACAACGGCAAATAAAAGCATAACAATAGGACCAGCGATCCATCCCATCTGAGCTATGGCCCAAGCCAATGACAAAACGCCAGAACCGATTACCGCTGTTATTATATGAGCGCTTGTTGTCCAAACCGTACCGGTTCTCTTCGGCCTTCCATCATCATCAAAGTATTTGGAAACACCAATTCCTTGTGAAGAAGGCGGCATATCCAATGAGACTTCAATTATTCTAGAAGTTGGAGGATTGTTCACCGAAGATTGCAGCGGTGATGAGTTTGTAGTGTCCTTATCAACCATCTTTCTTTTCCCAGGAAAAAAGAAAAAATCAAAACGATTTCCAAGCTATAGATCACCTGCTTTTGCTTTTCGGATTCTTCAAAACGAAGCTTTGAATGCCTACGTTGCTTGCTTCTACCTCTCTGTGTTTTTGTGTGAGTCGATTGGAAGGAATTGGGTGGTCTATATTTATAGTCCTAAACGCTGAGTTTTTTATTTTCTATTTACTAATTTGATTCGACCAATTCTCCAGCCGACCTTACTTAAATAAGTAATCCGATTACTGAACGTATTTGAAAACTTGTAAAGATGATCGGTTTCCTCTCTTGGAAAGGATTTTGACAAAGATGATCGATAAGCAGAAACCTACAATGAGGTTTTCCATTTATATGTTGGATGATGTGTTACAATTTACAAATGCGAAGAGCTTCCTGTTTGCCTAGAAACCAAATTAAAATAGTCTGGTGAAAAAAAAAATGTTCATAAATAAATCAAGTATTGTTCAATATTCAATAACTTTAGCCTGATAATTATTAGCCCCTAAATTTCGCAACTAATGCGCCTTCCTTGGTTGGAAAATCTTAAATGATGCTTCTGGTTCTTGTGGATGGAGTCCAGAAAATACAGCACGAATACATAGGAAAATTTTTTGATGCCATGGTTAGTTCAAAATCTATCGTTCACTAATGCCATGGTTACTTCTGCTACATTGCTATTTATTTGTTAAGTAATGTAGGTGTTTAATTGTTGGTTTGACACCCATCATAACACAAGAGTTTTTAATTTACAAAGGGTTACTCTTTTCCGGTGGCGCGCAATGCCTATTTTGCAATCCATTCAGTATACTTGCACAAATTTCAGCAAGCAATAGTCCCCCTTTGGTCATCGGAGAGTTTAATTGGCCTCTGGACGCCAACCGGTACCTTGATCCCTTTTGACCATATCTTTCTTATATCTGGACGCCAACCGGTACCTCTGGACGCCTCTTTTGACCAATAGTCTTGAAGGTACACATCATATTGGAGGTGGCTCTCGACTGTGATGGCTTTAATGTAGGCGGGAGAATAATTAATTCTTTAATGCCTTTGCTTTGAGGCAAGATATAATCAGCCAAATTAAAAATAGCAATTCTAAAACGCCGAAGAAACATGTTCCACAAACAGAAGATAATGCCAAGCACATGGAGGCCGCCACCATGTGGTTGACATGCTCCTACGAGCGATGGCATCTTCTTGCTCTAGTTATATCAATCAAACAACAATTTGATATGATAAATTTCGCTCTTATGTTCAGATTACCGCTCACAAATCAATCAGTTAATGACAACAAATGAATTATTTGAGATCGATCACTGGGTGTCGATTCGAGTGATCCGTTCAATTTCAAGTTATGTCTTTTACAAGGTTCATAAGATTTTTAGTAAAATGTAATAAAAATGCAAATCATGTCAATCGTGCCATGTTATATCGAGTTATTTCTGTAAATCATATTATCATGTCGAAAATTAATAAAAGAGGAGAGACTCAATCTATATAGAGTACCACGCGCGATCACCGCCCTAACTAGGAAGTTTAATCATAATTGAACGTTGAAACGGATCAGATTGTTCTTTCTACCATGAATTGCCGTAAAAGATTAAGTTCTTACTTTATTTAGAATATATTAAATTTAAGCACCTCTATCTCGTTTGTAGTCTTGGTGTTGGATTAAATCCAAATACTGAAGAGACCTCCATATCAAATTATTGAGAACTATACGAAAGCGGAAGCGTACCTTAATCTATAGCGGCAAGAACATCGATCCGGTTTGGTCTTCCAGATGATTCCGTCAAGCCCTTGCGGGAACCTCTGACAAATGGGGAGTCGAAGATTTGGCATGACGGTTCATCCGGGGACCACAACCAATATATAATAGGGTTTCCAGTTCCACCCATCACAGAACAAGAAACTGGGCCTTAGGGTTTCTACACAATACTGGGCCACACCTTATAATTTAATTATTATAATTAGCTCAAACTTTAGTTGATTTAATTAGATCACTTTATGTGAGCCGGTATTTTATGATAGCGTATAACATACAATTATATATATATATGTATTAGTGTATAAAGTCCACATAGATCTTACAATCTCCTACTTGGACTATACACTATATATATACCTTATAATTGTATATTATACCGAAAACTTAAGAGCGCGCAGAATTTGCTATCATGAAGTGACTTAACAATCCGGTCCATTAGTTACATTAACATAGGATCAAAGGAGCTTTCGTCGCAATTATCACAACTAAACCCATCAGTGGTTACATACATTAACATAACTAAACAACATGGATCAAGTGTGGATATGTAGCATGGAAATTTCATGTAATGTGATCTTTAACATGTCTATTTTCAGTTGGTCCTCTTTATGCTTCAATGATATCAACCAAAGTTTCAGAATGTAAGCACAGTGAAAAACTTAACCTTATACCTTAAACTTTACTTGAGACTTTAGACTTTGTACTGCAGTATTAATTAATATCTGAATGTTCATAAATATACGAACCCTTAGTAAAAACCAAAATTACAAACTCCCACTAAACTGTCATATCATCATATTATACAACACTCATTTAAGCAAGATATTCACCGAATACCTTAGATGAAGTAATCTGTGATATTGGAGTTTGTCCGAATGTGCTCCTTAAAAATTTGTTCATTCTGAACTTAAATCTAATAATTAAGAACTTAATGTTCATTGTTATTATAGTATCTTAAATTGTTGTATTATTGTCACATTATAACTTAAGTAGTCTTTTAAGACCATAAAATATTTGCAGCCTTGTGACAATATCGACAACTAAACTGAATCGAAGTCGAGATACTGAATGATCTCTAACTTGACCGAACTCCGATATGTGAGCGTGTAATCTTTAATGTCTTAATGATTCCGTGTAACCTTGTAGCTGCTACTAAATATCTAAATCTGAATTTTTTATTTATTTATTACTAAGAATTTGCCTTAAACTCCTACTGAAATTGTGATGTGTATAATCATCACAATATTCACCTCGAAACCAAATGAGATAAAAAGTTAAAAGTACTTGAGTTATTAACATGAAACTTTTTTAAGTCCTTAGATGAAATTCTTTAATTTGCAAACCATCAAACAAAGTTTTCCGGTTGCACCAAATAAATTGTTTCAAAACGTCGCCATTAAGAAATAATCTTTTAATATCCATCTAATGAAACCTAAATATAAAATGTACCATATAAGCCATTATAGAATGTTTTAAAATTTGGACTTCTAATAATACTAAAGAGTCTCTATAAGATAATGCCATCTTTATGACTAAATTCTTTATTGAGAAAATAACTCTTATATCTTTTTACATCACCTTTGGGTAATGAGAAAAGAACCTAAACGTTATTTTTATCAATTACTGTATTGATTTATTTTATGGCATTAATCGTAACTGTATTTCTTCTCTCTCCTTCGAAATCTCTTAATGGCATCCATACTTGAGATTGTTGAGTTTGTCATGTACAATTGTCTTGATGAGGAAAAGTTTTAACATTATCTTAGATTATCATATGAATAGAAAAATATTCAAGACAATGTCATTAACCTTCTTCCCCTCCAAACTCAATATTCTCAAGAAAATAGATATTTCCCGTCTAAAACAAGGATTATGTTTGGATCTTAGAACTTATTATGTTTTAGTGTATCCAACAAAAACAAACCGAATCCAGTTTCGTTTCTGTAGACCTATGCAGCCTTACCTTAAGCGGATAACTCAAAGTATGAAAATGCCTGTAGCTAGCTTATTTGCATGTTGATAATCCACAAGGATTGTTGCTTTAGGTGGAACACTGTCATATCTTTAAGTTGCAGTCTTTTATGTCTTTTTTCTTTTAGTGAGTTTAACTAAGTTGTAGAACTTGTCATACTACTTAGCCGATTCTTTAGTTTCCGATTCGTCTAATAATAACACTATTAATAGTAATACTTTTCGGCATAGGGATATTATATGACATACCATATTCACTAAGAAATTTGACCAGACCCTAGACATAGTTTACCTAATACTTAATTAGTTTATAAAATGTATTTAGTCTTAAAACTTTGAACAAGTTTAGACCATAGTACTTCTCAGTAATGGTAAAGGGGTAGCCCTGGGAAGTTGTTTGGGAACATAATACAATATGCTTGACCATTCTAAAAGAAGACCGTAAAGAATGGTTTACATATATCCGTATGTATTAGTTCTAACAACATCTGAAAATCTTATGCCACCCAATCTTATTTTGTTTGTTTGTTTTGCTTACTGCAGTTAACTCAAATTTTGAAATCTGATAAGTCAAGTGGAATTCCGACTAACTTTATTATTTGTCTAAAGCAAGTGCCTTAAACAATTGAAGCACCACCACAAAAGAAGCAACCAAATTTAATTTCCTAATTTTGCTTCTTTTGTGATACTGTATATTGCAACTTAATTATCCTTCTTTCCTATTTCTTTATTTTCTAAATGATTTAAACTTAATTGAGCACTTATTGATTCTTCTTTATTTTCCAAATGTATATTCATCTCTTACTTTATCTTCTTTCTTGTACACAATACGAAATGAACTCATTAAGAGTCCATTCTACTTAATAACAGTAAAACTGTTCTTAACCAAATCTCACTGTGTATGAGAGAGATCGATTCTTATTGCACGAAAAAGTCATAAGACAGTTTTCACTTTAGTGTCTTTAGCCTTAGTTCGAGATGATACCTTGAATAATAAATTTTTGTATGTTCCCTTTTTCCTTATACCTTATGGAAGCAAGATATCTTGAAAGAGTATTCATCCCCGCCTTATTGTTTTGACAAAATATTTTATAATAGAAACATGTTTGTATTATTTTATACCGTGCTCCTTAATTTTCCTTAATGTTTCTTGCTAGTTCTTGAAAGTCTTAACGGAGTTAACTAAAGCAGATACAACCAAAATAGTGGAATCAACTGTATTAAAAAATAACCAAACACAAGCTCAC